CGGGCCGACCCAGGGGGCGGGGCAGGGGGCGGAAGGGACCCCTGCGCGAGGATGTCGGCCGGCCTGGCATGTCACCCGGATACCTCCACGAGGCGGGGGGCAGCCGTGGGGGAGGGGGAGGGGGCGGGGTGCGGCCTGGGCTCCATGGATGCCGGCAGGGGGGGGGGGGAAGGCGGGGGGTAGCCGGGGTGAGGGTCATGAGGCGACTGACCAGGGTCATGTGGGCTCCTCCACGGAGGTGGAGAAGGATCCACCACGGTGTGTGGCGGCTTGTTATGACGAGGAGGCGGTGCCGAGTTGGAGGAGGTGAAGGGAGTGCAACTTCCTGAAGAGCTTCGCGAGACGCACCACGTCGAACGGCCGGTCTCACATAGTTGGTTACCACAGGGCTCACTAGGACATCTTGACCAAGTTGAGGCGGGAGGGGGAAATGAAGGTCGGGGACCTGCTACCAAAGGGGGGATTCGGGGACGGTGAGGTCCCAGACGGTGGCTGTACCTGGTGGGGGTCGGCCTTCAGGCCCAGGTTGGAGGACGCGGAGGACGACGGGGCTCCGGTCGGCCGGGCGAGGGGGTGCGGGATTCTGCGCTACATGCAGAAACCCCTAGACCTGCCGTGCTGGGAGTAGCTGCTCGTCGAATACATTGTCGACACCGACTCTGCGTTTAGCATAGTCGAGCGCGATAGTGTGAGTGCCTGCCACCCTCCCAATTGCGTGTTGTTGTCTCAACTTCTCCTGTTCAGCAGCGCTGTTCTATTGTTCAATGCGCATTACGTCTTGGGTGCTCGTCAGTAGCACTCACCATGGTCCCTCCTCTTTTCTCCACCCTACCTCGCCCTCCATCAGTTCCGCCGCCTCATGGGTGAGGCCAACCCCCGGCTTGCTCAGCTGGGGGTCATTCCTTCGCGTCACAAGCTGGCCCGTCTCATCATGCGACAGGCGGCGCAGTGCAAGGTGCTGGCGAAGGCCGAGTTGGCGGCTGACAAGGGGTGGGTGCGGTCTCCTACACGACGGACATTTGGTCGTCGGAGAACGACATTGGTTTCATGGGCATCACGGCACATTGCATCAACGCCCAGTAGAACCTGAAGCAGGCGATGCTGGACTTCAGGCCTCTTACCGCCAGCCACACAGCGAGGATGGTCGCAGACATCCTGGAGGAGGTGATCGAGGATTGGGGGCTTGCCGAGCGGTGTATGGCGCTCACCATCGACAACGCGTCTGTGAACGGGGCGACGTTCGATCTTCTCAAGGCAGGGGATCAGGGAGATGGAAAGAAGTGCAAGACCCCCTTGCCATTTCTCGCTGCCTATGTATGTTCACCTTGCTGCGCTTCGTTGCCCTATCCCTTCCACAAGGCGTGGTCAATTGTTCTAACCTCCAAACCCTTGGATTTGGTGCGGGTGCCTCGCCCACGTCAACAACCTTGCAGTGCATGAGGCTATGGGTGGGGTGCCGGAGGTGGAAGCGCCGCTAAAGAAGCTGCGCAACCTCGCGTCGCGCATTGGCTTCTCAGTGAACAAGACGGCCGCCTTCGAGAAGGAGCAGCGTCACCAGTTCCCTGGGAAGCAGCCACTTAAGCTGAAGCAGGACAACCCGGTGCGCTGGGGCTCCACCCACGCCATGCTGCGGCGGGCGATCGTGCTCAAGGGCCCAATCAAGGCCTTTGTGGCTAGGGAGGTTCCGAGCTGGACACACCTCCAATCCGCAGTCACTTGGTTACCACCAACCCGCTGCCAACCTACTTACCTCCATCGCACAGCCATGGCCGCCCCGCCACTCTCCAAGCCCCTTTCGGAAAAGCATACCCCTCGTCCTCCCTCCCTTCCCACCTTCCCTCTCCTCCCCCTCCCCCACACCCTTGTTTGTTCGAATCCAGGGGTGTAACAAGAAGGAGCAGGCCGAGCTAGATAAGAAGGCAGTTACAGAAGATGAGTGGGCGCTCCTGCAGGAGTTGATGGCGTTCCAGGTGCCGTTCAACAACGTGACTCTTGCGGCAGAGGGGTCGGTGTAACCCACGGTGGCGCGTGTGGTGCCATAGTACAATGGGGTACTGGATTGGCTGGAGCGCAAGCTGGTAGCGGCGAAGGCGGGGTCGGTGATGGCGCGGTGCGTGTCCCAAGCGTTGGATGCTCACGTACTTCTATTCTAGCACCGACGACTTCAACATGGCCACATTCTTGGACCCGGCACTGAAGCGAGTGTCGTTTGAGCGGCCGATGGTGGAAGGCAGCACAAGGGTGGTGGAGGAGTTGGATGCCGGCGAGGTGGAGGAGTTGGTGCGAGAGAGGTGGGAGAAGTACAAGAAAAAGGTGGATGAGGAGGCGGCTGAGAAGAGGGGGCGGCGGCGGTAGAGGGGGCCAGCAGCAGGAAGGGAGGGGAGGAGAGGGAGTCCGAGGATTAGGAGGATGAGGACTTGGGTGTGTCCACTCACCTCGCATCGGTGCGGGCCGCACAGATCTCATCGGTGCAGGATGAGATCCAGCAGTACTTGTCACTCCCTTGGCGGAACTGCACGACTGCCCCTTGCAGTTCTGGAAGGTCCACTCGGAGCTTCCAGCGCTGCAGCGCATGGCTCGGGATTACCTTGCCATCTTGGCCACCTCTGCACCCTGCGAGCGCCTGTTCTCAAAGGGCCGCAACCTCATCCATTGGCAGCGCTACCACTTGGGGGCAGAGCGAATCCGTGCTTGCATGATGCTGAAGTCATGGATTGCCTCTCACCCAGGACAGCGCTTGATGGCGCGCTAGCAGCGGAAGATGACGAGACGGCCGACGAGGCGTGGGAGCTGGGCCTTGAGATCGGTCCAGGGCTATGAGGGCGAGCGTGCTGGGGGGTTCGGGCCAAGCTAGGAGATTACCTTATATTGACATTGTGCTTCACCGATGACTATGCTTGATGCTTGCTTCTTCCCCTCCCTTCCCCCCCCCCCCCCAAACCCTCCTACTCCCCACCCCCCCCCCCTTTATTCAAACACCTGCCCTTACTTTGTGCTACGAAAGTCGGGCCCTTATTCCACGGGGGCTCACACCTATGTGAAACCCACTCTAAACCGTATTATTTATCCGGAAACTCCCTCACCCCATCTCGTGATCCAAATTCCAGCAGTCCCCGTTGTTTTTTTCCAGGTTTTTAGAGCTGTTTTAAATTTTGTGTTAAATGCGATGCGATTTAAAATCGCATCGCGCGATTTAATAAAACACCGCATGCGGTTTTCTAATACATCGCGGTCAAAAAGCGATGTGCTATTTAATTTCCCAGAAATTTAAATCGCGCGATGCGATACTTAATCGCATCGGCTTTTTTTTTTTTATCGCACCGGCATGCGATTCGATTTAAATCGCAATCGCATTTTGATCATGTCTACACACAACTGTTGACAAATAATCTTTAAAAGCTCACACAGCAGTTGACACGTAATCTTTTAAAGCTCACACAACAGTTGACAAGTAGTCTTTAAAAGCTCACACAACAGTTGCACCCACGCCTGTAGCACCTTCGCACCGGGGCAATTGGAACCAGCTAACCTATCATTGTGAGAAGAGCATTTCCCTCACCTTGCCATGTAGGGCGTTGCTTCCCACTCACCGTGCCATATAGGCTGTTGCTTCCCACTCACCTGGCCAAATAGCTAAGTGGGCAAATTCGCGTTTGGCGTAAATTCGCCCATACGCCAGGGGCCGGTTTTAAATTCGCCCTAAAATTCGTTTGGACTGGGCAGAAAAAAACTTTCAGGGCAGGGGAAAAAACCAGTTTCCACGGTACTACGGGCGTGGGAGTAGGGATGAGCAAAACCGGGTAAAAACCCAACCCGACCCGGTTTTGCCATACCCGACCTCGGATCGGGTCCGGGTCTGGGAATACCCCCAGGACCATTACCCGGATCCAGCCCTTAATGGCGGGTAATATAATACCCACCAGGCGGATCCGGGTATACCCGACCCGTTTAAGGCTAAAACCGGGTATTGCTACCGCCCATGGAAAAATGTCTGAACAACCTCTGTTTTACCCTCTGTTGCCATTGGCGCGTTTGTCATGGTGGCCCCCCGAGGTGGGCGTCGACAGCGTGGTCTTTAAAAAACAACCTAAACTGGATCGGGTAGCGCTTTTGCCAGCATGAGAGGGGCGGTACCCCAAGTCGGGTATTCAATACCCAACGGTTCGGGTACCCGATACCCGACATGTTGGGTAAGTTTTCGGGTAACGGGTATCGAATACCCACCTGGGTAACCCGTACCCGACTCGCCGGGTAATATTCGGGAATCCTGATACCCGACCCGCCCTGAAAGCGGATCCGGGTTCGGGTACCGTCCCCGCCCAGGTATTTTGCTCAACCCTACGTGGGGTGGGAGGTTTCATGGCAACACTTCTTAAGCACAAAGTTTTAGCACGACATAAATATTCCTATTTAAAGTTCATGGCTGGTTCTAGTGTTTGGGGGATCCATCACAACAAGACAATCAAACAACCAAAAGCAACATCATGAACCATCCATACCACCCACTCCGATCTGAGAGGGTCAACCATGCTGCTCGGATTTTCGTGAGGTAGGCTAGGTTCTAAGCTTAAATACGATCGACTAGCTAGAACGTCACAGAATTAGGGTAGTGCGATCTACGCTACGGGAGAGATTGGGTTTCTGCTCTACGCCCTCTAGCGTGCTAGAGTAGCGTGAGTCGCGTGGTGGTTTGGTTGGGTTTTCTAGAGGCAAGGGGGTTTGATGCGGTTGGGAGCTTTGAAGGGGTAGGAAGCTTGTTTGGAATCGCGAATTGGCAAGGCCACGGTTGCTTCGCCGTAACTTCGCGGATCTCGATTTTTTTTTCCTGCATCTCTTTGTCTGGGCTGCCCCGAAAAACCCCCAGCGAATTCACGTATTTCAACTAAATTCGCGAACACGAATTTAGCTGACGAATTTACGCTGACGAATTTACGCCATATGCTGGGGAACCCCAAGCGAATTTGCCCACTTAGCCATATAGGCCGTTGCTTCCCACTCACCTTGCCATATGCGCCTTCGCCCAGCATCTCGCCCTTCTTCCATTTGAACGATGCGGAGGCGCCACATGCCGCGTCCTCACCACCAGCAGCAGGCGCAATAACAGGCGTGGCAGGAGATGTGGTGGGGGGGGTGGGGGGGTGGTCGGAGATGGGGTGTTGGGGGAGACGGTAGTTGGGGAAGTGGGATCAACGGTCTTGGGGGAGGCAGAGGGCGTTGCGCTGTGGGGCGCGATGGCAGGTGAAGCACCAACTCCGTCTGCTTGACTGGTGTGTGCCGCGTCTCCTGCTTCTCCTGGCCCTGGCCCCGCATCTGCGCCTTCCCTCGTGACTGCGAGCTTGGGGGAGAGTGGCGGCCGTGCACACACCTTCTTCTCTGCCGCTCCTCCACTCTCCCTCTCCCCCTCTACCACTGCCTCCCTCCCTTCCTCCTCGACCCTACCCCTCTCACCATCAGTGCCCCCCCATTGCTCGCACCCTAGCTTCATCACTCCTCGTACCCACGCTCTCCTCGCCTGCCACAGGACTATTCTCACCCATTGTCGTGCTGGTGTCAGCACCCTTGGTGCTGCCAGCTGCAGGGAGGGCAAACTTGACGGACTTGCGCACACGCAAGGGCTGGGCAGCGGCCGTGTCACTGCCGTCACTGGCTGCTGACTTGGCAGCAGCAGCAGCAGCAGCAGCAGCAGCAGCAGCAGGAGCAGCAGCGCCGCCACTACTTCCACCACGCCAACCCCGGTAGCCCCAGCACCAGTCGCTGCCACACTAGGAGCGCTGGGAGCAGCACTACCTGAGCTGCCCGGCCTCTCTCCCTTGCCCCCTGAACTTCCCGGCCTCTCCACTCGTCCCCCTGAGCTGCAGGCCGCTCCCCTTTGCCCCTCGCTGTTGCCCCTGCCGCCACTGACGGCGCTGCTGCTGGTGTGTCTGAGGCTGTGTCTTGCCTCCCTGCGGCGGCGCCCGCACCCCCCGGCACACCGGAGCCCAGGCGTCTGAGTGACGATGGCACGGGGCGAGGACCTCTGCTGGCGCGCATGCTCTCGTCGTCCGTCACCACCTCCCTGCCGCCGCAGCGCTGCGCGCCCCCTCCCCCAGCCCCCCCTGCTGCCCTCTCCTCCGACCCACCACCACCCACCACGCCCCTGCTGCTGCTGCCGTGAACGCGGGCGTGACGGGATGGCGGCAGCGGAGTCAGGGGGAGGGGACGCGGAGGGGGCGGAGACACCCGGCCTGGAGAGGCCGAGCCCAGGTCTTCGCTGCTGCCGCACTCGCAGCGACACCTCCGTGTCACTTGACGGCCAGTCGCCCCCCTCCCGACCCTCCCTCGCCTCCTCCCCTGCTGCTGCTGCCGGCCCCCCTCCCCTGCACCTGCCTCCCCTGCTGCCCCTGTCGGCCCGCCCCCTCACCCCCACTGCCCTGCCTGCTGCGGCCTTCCAGTGCCTGCCTGCGCAGCTGAGAGGAGGGCGGCGACAAGGCAGAGGGGGAGGTCAGGGCGAGGGGGCGTGCAGGGGGGAGCGCGGGCCGGAGTCTGGCACTGCTCTGCCATCCGTGCCGCTCTGCCCTCGCCTGCCCCGCCCTTGCCCTCTCCACCTGACCCCTCCTCCACCACCTCACTGCTGCCCGCTCGCCTCGCTCCACCTGGGCCCTGCCCTCCCCTCCCACCACCACCACCACCACCTGCCACAGCAGCAGGCTCCCCTGCCCCAGCCTAGTGCCTGCTGCCCCTGCCTTCCCGCCCTTCTTCGCCCTCTCCTCCTGTGACGTGCCCCGCCTCACCAACCGCCTGCCCCATCCCTCGCCCTCTGCTCCCCTCGGTCGCTCTCCGAGTGAGAGGAATCAGCCAACGACCCGTCCCTACCATCAACAGCTGCACTGCCCCCGCCACTGCCCTGCCTTCTCTCCCACTCCCCCTCTCTCCTTCGCACTTCCCCCAACATCCTTTCCACTTCCTCCCTCTCCTTCATACTCCGTTCCCCCTGTCCCTCCTTGCTCTCAACACACCCCTCTGACTTGACTGCTCGTCTCCCTGCTCCCCCCCCCATCACTCCCCGACCTCTCGCCCCTTGTCTGTCCACATCTCTCGGGCTCACCGCCCCTCGCTGCTGCAACCCGCCCTGCGCCCGCTGCTTGGAGGGCTCTTCTTCCCGCCGCCGCCTGCCACCGCCCCTCCGCACCCATCCCCGCGCGCTCGCCACTCGCCTCAGCCGCCGTCGACTGCGTGCGCACCACCCCTCCTCTTCCCCCCCTCGACCCACACCCTCTGCCCCTCTCCCTCTTCCTCCCCCCCACCCCTTCCCCCCGCACTCCCTCTCACAGCCCCACCAGTCCCCCTGCCAGTCGCCCTGCCCAGCCTGGACTCCCCTGCTGCTGCAGCCCTGCCCTCCCCCCCCCCGTCGCTCAGCATGCCCCCCAGGCTGCTGCTCCCCGGCACGCGCGCCCGCCTGGAGCGCACGGCCCCGCCCTCCACGTCTGACATTACCTCCCCGTGCCCCGACAGGCCCCCCCACCCCCATCCCCTCCCCGCTGCCCCTCCCCACATCCCCCCCTTTTCCCTCGCCCCTTCCCCAGTGCCCCCATGCCACTCCCTGCCGTGCGTCTGTCGCTTGGCCGCTGCCGCTCCGGCCGCCATGAGGCTGTCAGCCGCGGAGTCCAGCACGCGCCCCATCATGCTGCCGCCCACCCTCCTTGCTGCCGCGCCAGCCCTCCTCCCTCACCGTGCCCACCACCCCCACACGCCTGCACCCACCGTCCTGCCACCAGCACCCTCCCCCTCCGTGCTGTGACTGCCGTGGGAGCCAGCGGAGCCGGAGGAGGGGAAGATGGCGGCGGCGGCGGCAGGGATGCATGGTGTGCGGGCTGGCTGCGGCCGCTGTCCCATGCGTCAGTGAAGAGGTGCTCGTGGCTGTCGCCCGGGTTGGGGCTGCGCGAGCGCTGGCCCGGCAGCACGTGGGGCGTGTGGGGCTGCGGAAGCTCATGCTGCGCGCCGGCACGCCCTGGGGCGCGCCGGACAGGCCGGAGGGCGCGGGGGCGAGGTCGGCCCATGCAGGTGGGGGCGCGAGGGGCTGCGGAAGGACATGGAGCGCGCGGGCAGGGAGGTGGGGTGCGCCGCCAGGGGCGAGATGGACGCAGAGGGCGACAGGTGCGAGGGGCGCGGGTCGCGCGAGGGGCTCTGGAAGCTCATGGTGCGGTTCTTGTCCAGCAGCCAGTCGGCGCGCGACGGCGGGGCGGCCAGCGACGCAGACAGGGGAAAGGCATCCGCGCCCGCCCGCGCACCTCCCCCCTCCTCGCGTCCCTCCTCTCCTCCCACACCCCGTCCCCTCCCAGCCTCTCGTCCGCACTGCACCCCGTGTCCGCCAGGGAGGCGGGGTCCAGCGAGCGCCCGCCATCATGGCCGTCAAACGCCAGCCCACTGAAGGCCCCCCGCCCACCACCGCGCCACTGCCCCCGCTGCTGCTGCCCGTGTGCTCCGCGTGCGCACCTTCATCGCCGCACTCCCCCTCCCCCCGCGCTCCTGAGGTGGTACTCATGCAGCTTGCGGAAGAGCGCGCGGATGCGCTCCGACGACGTCAGCTGCTGCGCCACCAGCCCGTCGCGGTTGCGCGCATACATGTTGGCGCCCGCCACCAGCAGCAGCTTTATTATGCCCCTGCCCGCACACAAGGGGGTGCAGGGGACGTGGGAGGGGTGTTTGAGGAGGGGGGACGGGAGATGGGGAGAAGTTGAGGGCAAGAGGGCTGCAGTGAGTGAGGGACAACAGGAGGAAGGGAGGCAGAAAACGGCAGGTGTTGGACAGTAGGCATGCTTGAACAGGCGCAGGAGGGAATGGTTGGCAAGCTATGTTCCCGCACAGTGGCATGGCATGGCATGCACATGGCCTGCACCACCCATCTGTGCCCTGCACCACCCATCTGTGCCCTGCACCACCATCTGTGCCCTGCACCACCCATCTGTGCCTGCACCACACACCACCCACCCACAGCCCACCACCTATGGCCCAGCACCTATGGTCCACCCCCCACGGCTTGCCTGTGGCCAGTGCTGCAGGCGTAGTGCAGCGCGGAGCAGCGCGTGGCGTCGGTGGCGTTGATGTCCGCCCCGTTGGTCAGCAGCAGCCGCACCAACTCCTCGCTGCCCGCCTGCACCGCCCACAGCAACGGCGGGGAAATCCCTCCTGCTGCTGCCCGGGGGGGGGGGGGCGGGGATGCAGGGGGTGCACTTGAGAACTGAGGAAGGACACGCCGCACGTGAAGGGAAAATGCGCTCCCAGGGAGCACGTAAAGCCATCGCCACAGTCGTCTGTTCACACACTGAGTCTAACAAAAGGGCTCACACACAGTGGTGAGACACGCACAGCAGGGCAGAGAGAGCAGGGCGGAGAGAGCAGCGCGGAGAGAGCAGGGCAGAGAGAGCAGGGCGGAGAGAGCAGGGCGGAGAGAGCAGCGCAGAGGGCGGGTGTGAGGGAGACCTGGTTGGCGGAGCCCCCGTCGGGGTCGGCGCCCCACTCCAGCAGCACAGCAGCGGCGTCCACACTGCTGCCACCACCGCCTCGTGCAGCACCGTGCGCCCCGTTGCTGGGGAGGGAAGAAAGGATGGGGAGGGAGGGGGCTACTCGGGAAGCACCTGGGCAAACAGCGGGACAAGTGGGGAGACTTAAAGCGGAGGGAGTAGGGAGCATGGTGGGTGGGTGTGCGGCAGGAATAAGGCAGGGAAAACGAGCGACGAAAAGCGCGGGTGCCGCTTAAGAGTGTGTCGGCCTGGGGTCTATGTTGGAAAAAACGAAATTTCAGTTTGCGTTTTGCGTTTATACGCGAGCAAAATTCGTACGCTGCGTTTTGGGTGTAGATTCGCCAAAATACGCACGGGCTGACCGCAAAAAAAAAACCAAAATTTCCGCGACAGTTCGCGACAGGGCGAAACTATTCGGGGGTTTCGCACATCGCGAAATCAACATCAAATTTCGGAATTTCAAAGCCGAGGCGCACCAAACCCCCTATCACACCGCTAACCACCCCACTCCTATGTTGGAAAATACGCGTATTGCGTTTTATACGCTAGCGTATATACGCTTGCGTATATACGCTATACGCTTGGATTTGGGGTCCAATACGGCAGGAATACGGCTGCCCGGGCAGGCAAAAAAATTTTGCCCGGGCAGGGAAAAAAAACGGCGGGCAGCCGGGAGAGGGGGGTGGGGCCCGGGGGGCAGGGCATCAAGTTTGATTTTTTTCTTCTTCTCCATTAAAATAACTTAACACAGGCATTTGTCACATCAAGAGCTTACTGCTAGCCCCTACCACTGCTATCACTGCTGCTACTACTTCTACAGCTGCTGCAGCCACTCTCGCCCACTGCTGCTGCTGACTGGTCCACTGCTGCTGCTGTTACTCCCACTGCTGCAGCTGCCTGCCCCCTGGTGCTGCCGCTGCCACTCCCCTGCAGCTGCCTCTGGTGACGGGTCTACTGGTACTCGTCCTCCATGACGAGATCCTCCCCCTCCTCCTCCTCCAGGTCGTCCTCCAGGTTGTACCCCGTGGGCACAGGGGCCTCGGAGCTGCACCCAGGAAGGACCAAGGACCCCCGTCCTCCTTGTGCCAGTTGTGGACCTGGTGCCAGTTGTGGGACACATAGACCAGGTCCCGACACTTTTCGGCACCGAGGCGGTTGCGCTTGGCAGTGTGGACCGCCTCCCACACTGCCCAGTTACGCTCGCATGCGGCCGCTGAAACGGGCTGTGAGAGCACCCGACAGGCCAGTGCGGCAAGCTCAGGGTAGTCGGACCCATGCCACTGCCACCACCGCGCCATGCTCTGCCTCCCCTCCTTCACTGCTGCACGATCAGCAATGGCGGTGGGGAGCCCGAAGCTGCCCTTCAGAGTGATGAAGGCGTCGAGGCCGTCTTGCATCACGAGGGTTGCACGAATGGGCTCGCCATCCCTCATGAACTCTTTGTCTTCGTAGTGGCGGGCGATGAAGGCTTTGAATACCCTCGTGCACTCCATGTCCGAGGGGAAGATCCCCTCCTCCTGATTGGCCGGGTTTAGGATGCGGCCAACCACATGGAGGGGGCACGCCATGCTGCCGTCCCACCTCCTTTTCACCATGCGGCGGATGGCATTGGCGTCCGCAGCGGTGAGCCCCTCCAGCCGCGCCTCCTCCAGCTTCTCATCGACATCAACGGTGAGCTGCAGCATGAGGTCGTACATACGACCCATCATGCCCTTCGCCGACGAGTCGGTGGCGCGCATTGCCATGAACGGCAGCCGCATGAGGTTGACAAACTGCAGGGCCTTGGTCCACCAGTCAGAGTCGAGTATGGCAGCGCTGAACGCCTCGCTGCCCGGCTTCCTCCCCCATCCGCGAACCTGGCCCACTCCTCACTCAGCACAAGCTGAGTGAGAGACATCCGCACCTCGCACAGCCGGGACACGGAGATGAATTGGGTGCCGAAACGCGTGCCGGCCGGTTTCAGCACCTGTTTCCCCTTGCCCCCCTCCACCTTATCGCTCCGCATGTAGTTGCGGGTGAGGTGGTGCTTGCGGACGAAGGAGGTGATGATGTTGGCCTTCTCCACCACCTCCTTCGCCCACGCCATCCTCCGATGTCCTCCATGAGGAGGTCGAGCACGTGCGTGGCGCATGGCACGTGCTCGATGTGGGGGTGCTCGGCGATTAGGATCCTGCAGGCCGCGGCGTAGTTCGAGCCGCCATCCATGCAGAAAGCGACGACGTTCTCCGGCCCAACGCGCTGGATAATAGGGCGGAGAATACCGGCAATATAGCCGCCGGTCTTCATTTCCATGTTTGTGTCCACAGCATCAGTAAAAACTGCTCCGGAGTCGTTGATAAGGAGGACGTTGGCGATGGGCCGGCCGTTCTGGTCCGTCATCATATCGCTAGCAATGGTGACGCCGCTCCGCCGCCAGCTGCTGGAGATGGGAACCAGCGCGGCCTCGATACTGGTGCGGCAGTCGCGCAGGCCGGCACCGCCGATGTACTTGCGCTTCGGGGGAACGTAGGAAGTGCCGGCGCGAGCGATGGCGGAGACCGCATTCCGGAAGAGGACGTGGTCCGCGTGATGCTCCGGCAGGCGCAGACCAGCGAAGAGGAGGCAGAGCGCCCGGTCCGCTTCCTTCTTACGGCAGGCGGACTCGTCACCGAAAAAATTGGTGATGCGCCCCTTTTTGCCGCTGCCGCAGCCGTTAACCGCAGACAGCGCTTGCTCCTCCGCCTCGCGCTTCCCCTCCCGCTCCCTAATTCGTGCCTCGTACAGCGCCTTAACTCCGTCGCGCACGTCTTGCGTCACCGCGGTGCAGAGGGTCACATCGCGACGACGAAGTTTGTTCACTCGGCGAGGTGCTGCGCGCAACGCGTCATCCCGCCATTGAAGGTGTGCCCGCATAACAGCAGCGGCGGTTTTCCGTAGTCTTGCCGTCCGCATTAAGCGCGGTTTCGAAATGCTTAAAAATAGGATGCGACGCATCGTAACGTAAACAGTGCCGGAGGAGAGGCAGCCTCGCCATCGTTAGTAGGTGCGGGCACGCTGGGGGGGTTGATGGGGTGGACGACGCCATGACCACTACGGTGAAGTAAGAGGGGAACTGAGCTAAGCTAAGCTAGGGGAGGGAGAGGTTGGAGTTGGAAAATGAAAGGAGATGGTGATTCAGATCTAAACTATGGAATGGGGGACGACAAACACGGGATGCCTTCCCTCCACGTCCACGGCTGGTGAGGGGTGGGCGAAACGCGGGCGAAAATTTCTGAGAGTTCGCGATGTCGCGAACTCGGAAAAAAATTGATTTTTTTTTTTTTTTTGCCGGGCAGCCCCGATATTGCGTATCGCGTATTCCAAGCGTATCAGTATTGCGTATATTCGCAAGCGTATATACGCAATACGCAAAGCTTGCTGTGCGTTTTTTCCAACATAGCCCCACTCCACCCCGTCATTCCCACACCTCTCCCAACCCAATGTCCAACTCCCTTTTCCCCAAACAGAGTACGCTTTCCAAGCATAAAGAGCAGCCATTCTAGCATTTCGAACTCATTCTCTTCTCTAGCTTCCCCTTCCGTCTCCAGCATGGCCTCCACGCCTAGACCCACTCCGTCTTCCCCTTCAGCTGCGGCAGCCCCTGTTTCCGCGGAGGCTTCTACTAGCAGCACACTCTTTTGCCCCGACAGCACGCATGTCGTGTTCCGCCACTTCAACGTCCCAATCGACGACTCAAGCGATAGCGCGACGAAGATCTGCAAGTATTGTGAGTTCAAGTTCGTCGGCGGCATGTACCGCTGCGCTCAACACATCACCAGCTGGTCCGGCATGAGACGTCGTGAAGTGCGGCTCTGCCCCTCGGCTCCCAAGTCTGCCCGTGACGCCGTGAAGACTTCGTACAATTCGAAGCTGCAGGCGCGCGAACGAAAGCGCGGCGGAGGCAGCCGCACTCGGTGCGGTGAGCGGCGCTGCTCGCGATGGCGAAGGGAAGAGGTCCCGCATCACCGACTTCTTCGGCGACGAAGGGACATGCGCGAAGGAGGCGGCAGACGAAGCGCTTTGCCTGCTCTTCGCCGGCCTTCGACTTCCTGAGCATCACGCAGACCACCCTCTTTGGAGGAACGCCGTCAGCTGCATCGCTCGCGCGGGCGCGACGTACGTTCCTCCGAAGCGCCGTTACATCGTACAGGCACAACACCCACAATGCGCTCCGCGACGAGTGCATCCGCATGGCGTGTGACGCTCAGCTCGTCATCACTAAGGAGACCGCTATCTACAAACCAGCTGTTGGCTGGACGGCGCAACCTAGACATGGGCAAAAAAAAATCGCATCGCATCGCATTTAATCGCGTTTTTTTTTTTTTTATCATCGCGCGATGCGATGAATTAATATCACGCGATTTAAATTAAATCGCATTTTAATCGCACTAAAGAACGCGATTTAAATGCAATATGCGATTTTTTTAAAATCGCGCGTGATGTTGCACTGAAACCCACTCTGAAACCCACTACGAAACCACACTGGTTATTTGCACTCTAGCTTACGACTGCCCGTGAGTCAATTTCCCAACAGCCATGGTTTTTTTTCTGTTTTTTTGGGGTGTTTTTTTATTCTGTTTTAAAACGCGATGCGATTTAAAATCGCATCGCGCGATTTAATTAAATACCGCATGCGGTTTACATATTCATCGCGCGCAAAACGCGATGTGCGATTTTTTTTTTCCAGAAATTAAATCGCGCGATGCGATTTAAAATCGCATCGCATTTAATTAAATCGCCCCCCAATGCGATGCGATTTAAATCGCAATCGCATTTTGCCCATGTCTAGCGCAACCCCACGGCCCGCAAAGGGGGCGGCTACATGGCACGAGAGCAAGCGGACAAGCAGATTGATCACTACCGCAACAGGGCGCCCTATGTGGGGCTATTCCCCCTTGCCGTCATACGGCTGCCCATGCGCCGAGGTGCTACCTGCAGCTCCTGGCCAACACCTGGAGCCCGCCGGCTCTTCAACCGGTTTTGGCAGTGCTGGTCTGTGACTCTCCAGCGGGGTCAGGCACTCACCTACCTGGGAAAGGTGAATGAGGCGTCCCGCAAAGTGGCCCCCTCTCGGCGCCCCCGACAAAGGCATGTCCCTCAGGGACTGCTTCGCGGTTTTGGAGCCCGCTATGGAGCTCCCCTAGGTCCGTGGTGCTTGACATTGATGCCCTTGCGTTACTCACCTTATGTGAATAGCCATGTACCCACTTTTGCATGAATACAACGGAACGGGGGAAGAGAGAGCGTACCTGGGTGGGGAGGAAAGCAGAGCGGTGCGGGAGGGGGCGTCCTGCAGGATGGCGTGCACGAGGTCGGCGTCGTTGCCATGCCGCCTCCACCAGCCGCAGCACGCGCTTCAGCTGGCTCCCATCGCCCCCATCGCCCCGCCCACGCCCCCATTCTCCCGGCCATACTCCCGGCCCCCAAGCCCCCCTCCATGCCTATGTCCATCTCCCACGCCCCGCCCAGCCCTGCGCCGTCCCGCCCCTGCCGACCATCCAACAGGTCGTCCGAATCCAGGAAGCGACTGCCATTCACTGCCAGGCTGTTGACACGTGGCAGCATAGCATTGGTGGCGACCATGTCGCCATCATCGAAGCCTGAAGACTGCAGGGGATGAGGTGGAAGAGGGAGGGGAGAGGTGGAAGGAAGGGAGGGGGTGGGGATGCAGTGCTCGGTGATAGAGATGCAGTGCCTCGTGCCGTGCACTAGAGGGAGATGCAGTGCCTCGTGCCCGGTGCACTAGAGGGAGATGCAGTGCCTCGTGCCCGGTGCACTAGAGGGAGATGCAGTGCCTCGTGCCCGGTGCACTAGAGGGAGATGCAGTGCCTGCCGTGCACTAGGGGATGCAGTGCCGTGCCCGGTGCACTAGAGGGATGCAGTGCCTCGTGCCCGGTGCACTAGAGGGAGATGCAGTGCCTCGTGCCCGGTGCACTAGAGGGAGATGCAGTGCCTCGTGCCCGGTGCACTAGAGGGAATGCAGTGCCTCGTGCCCGGTGCACTAGAGGGAGATGCAGTGCCTCGTGCCCGGTGCACTAGAGGGAATGCAGTGCCTTAGGGATACCCGACCAGACCCGGTTTTTGCCATACCCGACCTCGGATCGGGTATTTTCGGGCTGGGTCCGGGTCGGGTGATACCCCCAGGACCATTACCCGGATCCGGCCCTTATTGCGGGTAATAATATAATACTCGCCAGGCGGATCCGGTATACCCGACCCAGTTTAGGCTAAAAGCAGGTATTGCTACCCGCCCATGGAAAAATGCCTGAACAACCTCTGTTTTACCCTCTGTTGCCATTGGCGTGTTTGTCATGGTGGCCCCCGGGGTGGGCATCAGCGTGGTCTAAAAAAAACAAAAAAAAAACCGGTTCAGCAGCATTTTTGCCAGCATGAGAGGGGCGGTACCCGAAATCGGGTATTCAATACCCGGCGGGTCGGGTACCCGTTACCCAACATGTCGGGAAGACTTCGGGTAACGGGTATCAAATACCCGCCCGGGTAACCCGGACCCGCCAGGTAATATTCGGGAATCCTGATACCCGACCCGCCCTAATAGCGGATCTGGGTCTGGGTACCCGCCCGAGCGGGTAGACATGAGCAAAACCGGGTAATTACCCGACCCGACCCGGTTTTGCCCTACCCGCAATCGGGTCCGGGTCGGGTCGGGTTGGGTAATTTCCGGGTAATGTTTGGAGGTCTGTTACCGACCCGACATTTAATACCGGTAATTGGGTACCCGTCGGGGGTCGGGTATACCCGACCCGCATATAATTGAAGTCGGGTAATATTACCCGGGTACCCCTAGGTGGCTGTAAAATTCAGCAAACCCCGAGTAACAAAACCCAAAGTCGGGTCGGGTACCCGCGACCCGACGGGTAATAAATTACCCGACATTCGGGGTAATTCTCGGGTAACGGGTATGCATTACCCGGCCCGAGTACCCGACCCGACCCGCCGGGTAATTCGTCAAAATCCTATTACCCGACCCGGCCAAAATGTCTGGTCGGGTCGGGTACCTGCGACCCGACCGGGTAAAATGCTCAAGTCTACGCGCGGGTATTTTGCTCAACCCTTCAGTGCCTCGTGCCGGGGGCACTGGACGAGCGTAAGGCCCAAGGGCAAAGCCAGTCACCAGGAGCCTCTTACGCACGCTCCCTCCAGGGATGAAACTCTAGAAGTCGTTCTTAACAGGGGACATCTCCCCTCTCTCTCATTCCCTGACTCCCAGGGGCAAAGTGATCTACCTTGCTACAGCCACAATCATCGACCTTCACTACACTCACTGTCCCCCGCCATGGACACACAGTCACCTACAGTGCGGTCCAAGCCAAGCCAGTCCCCCCAGCAGATGCCGCCACCTCCCCCGCCAGTGCTGCTCAGGTCCGCTGCCTGGTGGCTCAGCGTCCGCGCCCACACCCTCGCCCCCACCGCTTCTGCTTCCGCCATGCCCATGCCAGGGCCTCCCCAACCCCCCGCTCAGACTCCCCTGCACTCCCCGCGCTCCCCTTCAAACGAAACCCCACGCCCAACCTCCTCCCAGCCTGCCCCTGCCCTCCTGCCGCCTTCCGCCTTCCCCCACCCCTCGGTCCGCGTCTATCGCCATGCTCCCCGCGCGCAGATGGCCCAAATTCCGCCCGCCCCTTGCGCATGCCCCCCCAATCCGCCGCGCGCGCCCTCCCCACCCGTCCGTGAAGAAGCCCAAGGGCCCGCCGAGACCGCTGTCGCCGCTGCCGGGGCGGTGCGGGACAGGATCGGCGCGGCGGCGAAGGTGTAGCCGCGCTGGGCGCGCCCTGCGCCAGCGCGCCGCTCCGCCTCCACCGTCGTCGCGGAGGGCATGGGAGTGCGGGCGGAGCGACGAGGTGGGGCCCGGCTGGTACGAAACATGGCGGGTTGCGCTCGTGCCGTGCTGCTGCTGGTGGGGATGGTGTGGCGCGGGGAGTGGTGGCGCGGGCGCGGCACGGAGGCCGGGGGGGGAGGCGAGGCGGTGAGGGTCGTCGAAGTCGAGCGCGTCGTACGCCCCGCGGCGGCGGGGAAGCCGCTGCTGGTGCTGCTGTGGCTGCGGGGGAAGTCGCGGGGGAAGTCGCGGGAGGGGCTCAAGTCGCCGTCGCCGTCCAGCGTGGCGACGGGGAACGTGCCCGAGCGGTGCATGGCGGTCGCCGCCAATGCCTCCGCGCGCGCGACGCCGCCACTCGCTCAGAGCGCGGCGGAGCGCGGTCTCGCCTCAGTATGGCCGCCACCCCATCGGGCCAGTCACGCACCACCCGCGCCTGCTGCTGCCGCGCTCACTCCCGCCTGCACCCACGCCGCACACTGCGACCTCGCCGCCCAGGTGCCCTCACCGCCAGTCGCCCGCAGCAGGCTACCGGCTACCGACTGCTGCAGTCGGCGGACGCTACGCGAAGAAAGAGTCGCGGCGGGCTGAGAAAGACGGTCGAATGAGAAGAAATGAATCGCTTGCCGACGCGGGGTTTCGCATCTAGTGGCGCTGAGCTCGCCGATGAATCGCGGGACGAATTCTCCTGAGCGACGTGGCTGGCTATCGATGCCAATTGCTAGAGCGCGGTGTACAAGGAGATGAGACGAAGAGTCTAGGTGGGAAGGTGTGAGTGCTGTGCGAGTGCCGCAACCGAGCACAGACAGGACGGGGGAGAACCGCACACAGTGAGAGAGCTGCCAGCCAACACATAAAGCATGTCGCGAGCTACAGTGCACCACCATCTAGGGTTGCCCCCAGAACGTGGCGTTCGTTGTGGCGAACCTAGATCAAGGGTAACCGTATGGGGGTGAGTTACAGATGTCAGAACTTGTTATAGGAAATGTCAATGAACGATGTCGTGGGGGGAATACAAGGTCGCTACTGCAATGAAGGCACGGGGTTATATAGGGGTTGGCGTGCTAGGGCGATAACCTCGGAACGTGGGTAGGTTCGCAATGTGGCGACAGTGCCGGACGCGACTCGGGGAAGGGTTGGGCCGACAAATAAGGCCGAACGTGAAGAGTCGAGGAGTTCGGGTGTACTCGCTAGCGTACGACGCAGTAAGGAATGGAAATTCCTTACACTACCCCCCCCCCCTCCCCCCCCACCCTCCTAAACGAGACCGCGGGCATCGGAGACATTCCGACGCTGATAATACGATGTTAGAATCGGGTGTGAATCTAGATCAGTTAGGGTTCCTAGCTCTCATCCTCGGAGGTCCGATCGCGCCAGCGGATGAGAAAATCCACCATCCGACGGTTCTGCTGCGTTGTGACTCGATGCCGAGGATTTTCAGAGGCTCGATTGTCGGTTCTTGCAGGGGCGTCAGCTGCGGGGCGATGCGTTGACGGGCTAAATCCGAGGAACTTGGGACGTGGGGTCGCAGAAAGCTGACGCGGAAAGCCGGGTGGTGAAGCCAATCAGCTGTAAGTCGAAGATGCTGTGTGTGACAGTGTCACCATATTGGTCACTTGAAAAGGACCACAAAAGCGGGGGCGGAGTTTGCTCGGAATCGGCAGGCGCAAGTTGCGAGAGTCGAATAGTACGAGGTCTCCCACTTTGTAGGTGACGTTACGTCGGTGGCGATTGGCTTGTCAGCTTGCGACCAGATTGGCTTTGCAGATTGCCTCAACTGCTTTTTCTCGGGCTGTTAGAATATCTTCGGCAAAGCGTTGGGACCGGGGCACGGGTGTCTCGATGTTGGGTGTAGAGGGTACCACGGGGTCGTGTCCGTAATTTATGAAGAATGGGGATTGGTGGGTTGTGGCGGAAGGCACGTTATTATATGCGAATTCCAACAGCGGAAGGGATTTCTCCCATGTTTGTGGATTAGTACAGGTAGTCCGAATGAGTTGCTCCATAGTTTAGTTGACTCGTTCGGTCTGCCCGTCGGTCTGTGGTGGTAGGCGAGGAAAACTGTAGTTTTGGTGCCGATTGGTCCCACAGGTGGCGCTAGAAATTCGATGTGAATTTCGGGTCTCGGTCTGAAATAATGGCGGTGGGCATTCCGTGCAATCTGATGACGTTGGCGATGAACAGTTGGGCAGTTTGCTCAACTGTAATTTCTGTTGGCACGCGATGAAGTGCGCCATTTTCGTGAGTCGGTCAACGACCACCGAGGATGGCGTTGTTTCCGCTGGGACCGGTCGGCAGTCCTATCACGTAGTCCATCGTGACGTGTTGCCAGGGACTCTCGGGCGGATCCAACGGCTGTAGGAGTCTGGCTGCTCGCTTTTGGGATGACTTCATGATTTGGCAGGCGGTGCAGGAGGACACGTACTTGCCCACGTCGTCGGCCATGTTCGGCCAGTAATAATTGCGCTGCAACGTCTTCATGATTTTGTCGACTCCCAAGTGCCCAGAGTTTGGGTTGTCATGTGATTCCTGGATTAAGACGGTGGGAAAGTAAGTCGTAGCCGGGAACTCAGATGCGGAAAGTGTCACGCTTGGTGAAGTAATGTCGGTAGCGGTAGTATGATGTTGGTGAATGGAAGAGCGGAAGAAGGGTCAACTCTGTAGCCGTGGGTAAATAGTCCTATAAGGAGTGGGCTGGTCGGGGGCGACTAGTATGGCAGCTGTATGGGCGGTGGGTCGGGTCAGGGCATCAGCAGTGTTGTTGGCGCTCCGTTTGTAGGTGATGGTGTAGTGGAAATTTGACTCGAGGAAATCGAGCCATCGGATCTGTCGTGGGTTTAGGGCTGGGCTCGCAGGAACTATAGGGATTTGTGGTCGGTTCACACAGTGGCATCAGCGCCTGTCAGGTAGCACGCCAGGTCTTGAACACGTGGACGATTGCCAACATCTTCTTGTCGTGTACTGTGTAATTTTCTCAGCAACCTGCACCTTCCGTGATTCGTAGGCGACCGGCTCTAACCCTTCGCCGAATCCTGTAGAAGAAATGCGTCGATGGCGATGTCGCTAGCGTCGGTGATGACTTCGTATGGACAGGCAAGATCGGAGATGCCAAGGACGGGCGGCGACGTGAGGGCGATCTTCAGTTCATCAAATGCAGCTTGCTACTTATCCCCCCACCAAAAACAATCGTGATCCTTCAGTCGGTCAATTAGCGGGGCGGATAACCCAGCCATATTGGGGATAAAATGGCGGACGTAATTGACGGAGCCCAAAAAAACTCTGCAGCTCCTTGACGTTTCGTGGCAACTTCCATTCCTGGATGGTCTTGATCTTCTTCGGGTCGATTTTCACTCCTTCAGTAGAGACGATGTGGCCCAGAAACTCCAATTCTTGCTTAAGAAAGTCGCACTTAGACCCTTTTGTGATGAGGCGTTCTTGTGCAGCAGCATGAAGACTGCATCCAGATCCTTTAAGTGCAGCTCCTTGCTACGGCTGTAGATTAAGATATCGTCGAGGTAGATGATGACGCACTTGTCCAAGAGTTCCCTGAAAATTCCATTCATGGTCATTTGGAAGGTCGAGGGTGTGTTTGTGAGTCCAAAAGGCATCACCAGGTGCTCGTAGTTGCCGTATCGGGTTCGGAATGCCGTCTTGTGACAATCTTCGGCGACGATGCGAATTTGGTGGTAACCTCCACGCAAAACGACTTTCGAGAAAACCCTGGCTCCGCGAAGTTGGTCGAGAAGTTCGCCAGCTCGCGGGATCGGGTAACGCAACTTGATGGTGATCCGGTTGAGCGCGCGGTAGTCAATACACATTCGGAATCCCCGATCCTTCTTCGGCGTGAACAAGATCGGGGCAGGGTATGGTGACGTACAAGGCGGGATAAAACCTTTCTCCATAAGATAATCCAGCTGCTGCTGTAATTCTTCCAGTTCCGGTTGGCTGAGCCGTAATTGGCGTTGTACAGTTGATTGGGCGCTTGGTTCTAGCTCGATTTGGTGGTCCTCATGCCAGCTCGGCGGGAGTCCAACTAGCAGATCGTCCAGAAAAAACTCTGGGTATTTCCGAATCAAGTCCGCTAAATCCGGAGGGACGTCCTTGCACAGCTTCTCAATATGTTCGTCTTCGACCGTCGATACTAACTCGCGAAGATCAACGACGTCTGCTTCGGCTCTAGCCCGCATCGTCTTCTTGAAGGTGATTGCATGGACTTGGGTGCTTCACATGCGAGGCCCCGTCCACTTGGGCAACTTGCGGGAAATCCCATTGAGCTTGATGCTGCAGCCGCCCGTCGTCCAGTCGATCTTCGGGTTGTGCCTTCGCAACCAATCACATCCTAGCAACACGTCGCACCCATCAAGAGTTGTCGCCAGCAACCCCATCCGGAATATTACATGCTTCACACACGTATTACTAACGTTCTCCACCCGTTCCCGTATTTCCAGCGGCGTGCCATCCACTAGTCGGGCGTCAACTTCAGGTAAAAACCTTAGGAAGGGTATACCCAACTTTTTAGCCCTGTCCAACTGTATGAGACCGTGACTTGCGCCTCCATCAACGAAAATCTTCAAAAACACCCCGTTGACTTTACCCTCCACCAACACAGGGTGATCAGCAATTTCGTTCCCCTTATTCGTCCGGGTCTGGTCGATTGCGGAAATCGGGATCACGACCCAGTGGGGACTGTGTGGTTCAGGCGAAGAAGCCTACCCGTCAGTAAGGGGTACGGTACTTACTGATGCGACCCATTTCCCGGTCGCTCTTCCGGCTTCTTCCCCATAGAATTTTGGAGGGCTATGAATTCTTGGTAGTTGCGTCGGATGTGACCCGGCCGGCCACAATGGTAGCATAGCCCCGTATTTCACGAAGCAATTGCGTACACATCCACTGCATCCACCCCTTTTATCGTGGCGCGCTGGTACTGTTCTCAAAGGCGACCTCCGTCGTAGAAGTTCGTCCAGCTGATCAGTGGCTTCGACAAGCTGGATGTAGTCTTGTAACCGCTTTGCAGGGCGTTGCAGTTTTATCTGTATTTCAGGCTTCAAGCCGCCCATGTACCTGTCGACCTTCTCCAACTCGTGCATGTAGCCATATCTGTCCACCAACGTCAGGAACGCCGCGGTGTACTCGGGCACACATCCCAGCTGCTTTCACATGCGTAGAGTTTTGCGTGCCTTGTCTGAGTCAGGTGCATGCTCAAACCGCTTGCGGAGCTCTGCGCACCACGTTGCCCACGTGCGAATATGGGTCGTTCTGAGAAACAGGCCTGCCTCGTCTTTGTCGCCGAATTCTTCGGACCACTCGTGCTGTCCTTTTGTGCGACTTGCCACTGGGTCGATAATGACCATCCACCACTGTAGGGCGGCCCCTTGCAAAAGTGTTGACACCTGGCTGATCCGCTTCTGATTCTCTCTGATGCCCGCCGCGTTAAAATAGATCTTCATGGCGAATATCCACTGCCGCACTGTCACGCCTTTATTAACTGGGTCGAAAGGAGCAGGTTGCTGATATCTTACGCCGCCAATTGTCGAGCGCGGGGCTGTTGCCGCTAGTCGTGCTGGATCCACTGGCGACGGTTGCTGCTCACCCGCCTCACTTCGTGCATTGTCGCCCAGCTCCTCTGGACGCTTCTCCTGCGCCTGGCAAAGTTGTTGGTTCTCGTCGCGGAGTTCGTTGATGTTGCTTGTCAGATTCTTCAATAGCTCGATTAATGCTTGTAGGTCCACAGTTTCCTGGGCAGGGTTTGTAGCAGTCGAGGTGGACTGTCCCTCAACTGTCGAATCTACCGGGGCCATGGCGGTC